TTTCACGTTGCTTCCACGATGGTGTGCTGTGGGGGTGTCTTTGTTTGCTTTGGAATAGTGCGGTTTCATGTGAACCAGGGACATTTGGTTGTCTTTGTGGCCATCGCCGTTGCCACCAAGCTATTCCGACACTTTTCAAGCTTTCTTCGAATTCCGTAAAGTTCTTCACTGTTAGTATTTTTCACGCTAAAGCCGCATCCATACTTTGCGACAGTGAAGAAGTGACGAATTGAAGAAATGCAGAATGGACGAAAAGGGTTGGATACTTCAATGTGAAGAACTGCTGAAATGAGAATTGCTGAATTGAGGGAATGACGTATTGAAGAATTGCGGAAACAGATCGATGCGTATCTAATCCTTTTCGTCAATTCTACATTTCTTCATTTCTTCACTGCAAGATTCGTCAATTTTTTCATCATTTCTTCAATTCTGCAAATCTTCCTTTCTGCATTTCTTGAGATCGATACGTATCTTATCCTTTTCGTCAGTCCTTCACTATCGCAAGGTATGAGCACACCCTGAAGCCGCGTTCATAGCTTGCGATCACGAAGATATGCAGAAATGAAGAAATGCGGAATCTGCGGCAATGACGAAAAGCATTGTATACATATCGATTGAAGAAATGCAGAAATGCCGAAAGTGAAGAAGTGCGGAATCTGCAGAAATGCAGAAAGTGCGGAAAATCGATACGTATCGGTTGCTTTTCGTCATTTCTGCAGATTCCGCATTCCGCACTTTCCGCACTTCTGCAGTTTCCGCATTTCTGCATTTCTTCAAATCGATATGTATACAATGCTTTTCGTCATTTCCGCAGATTCCGCATTTCTTCATTTCTGCATTTCTTCATGGTCGCAAGCTATGAACGCGGCCTTAGGTATGTATAGTAAGGCCACACTGCATCTCCGGGACATGTCTTAGCCTAATGAATAATAGATTCTGTCGTCTTGGTTTCTAGTGGGGTTTATAAATGATTCAGTAATACTCGCTTGATGACCCTAGGCAACTACGCGACCCTTTTCGCTCTAGTCTGCAGTGCGAAGCGGCTTACGTTCTCATATAGAGTGGGCCACTCCTGGCTAATCAGATTGATGTTGTGTTCTCTTTGCTCTTCATCGCTGCAGTAATCATCTTTCGAATTGGTGTATAGCTTTCTTCGCTGATGATAGGGAGTGTCAGTGAGCCTGGGTTTGGCACTGCGCCAGATCTGTTTTCCAGCAGTTGTAGAAGTGGGTAGGCGACAACAAGTGGCGGAGAACGATCGATGATGAATGATACAGTCTTGTCGCTTGCTCACTTCGAACTGGTGAGGAGACGGACTAGGCTCCGTGCCTACCAGACCTCTTCATCCGCAGCGAACAAGACTGTAATATGCCCTTGTTATACACCGCTTTAGTTCCTGCCGAAAACTCGCTTGGGGTCCGTAAATTTGTTAGTGGCAAAAGATTTGGTCGTGGAACTAAACAAAACAGGCCAAGTATAAGGGTATGGAGAAGTAGAAGCCGAAATATGAGAACTTCTCGACAAAGCCGCGAGGGAAGGGGCGACAGGATCAGGGATCGTACTTGGTCGGGGTAGGGGAGTCTTTAGTTCGTATCTGCTCCTTATGGGTCTTATTTGGGGCTCTTTCTACGGTTTCTTTCGCCTTATTCTTCATTAGGGTTCCGGTTCCACATACAACCTGCGAAAGGCGATCGCGTGCGCTGTTGTTAAATTATTGATAGTTTGTGCTTCCACATCTAACTCGAACGTAACAGTGTGATTTCAGTCATTCCGAATGGCTTCACGCTGAAGGAATCCCAAGGGACCACAGTCAGTCCCGAATTGGTTCTTGCGCCGCATGCCTGACCTCGCTTGTAATGGCCGTCTATATGCGCCGATCAATACATGCTTTCCTAGTCGAGAAGACACCCTGATGCTTTTTTTTCCGGGCGACACAATCACGTTGTAACTGCGTTTCGCTCACTCAGCGTTTCAAATGCTTTTTCATTACATTTCTTGTTTAGCTCGATATCGAATTTTACCTTGTCCATTGAAATCAATCTCCATCATAATTGGCTGTTTCAGTTGAATCTCGAGTGTTCACGATGGGTCGTAAAAAGAAGAAGGTCGAGAAGCCTTGGTGCTGGTGAGCTTTACTTTTCTCGACAAAAAGTTCCAGTTCTCTACACCCACATTTTCGACCCTTCCCCTTCATCCCTCTTAGTCAAAGTCTAATAGGGCATTCGCTGTTTAGTGAATGCATATATTTTGTAAAAAACCAGTCCTGAAGATATGAACGGGTACAAGTCGGAAAGAAAGAAGTGGAAGTGTATCATGAAGGGAGTAGTCGCCATTCGGCTTTGCATAGTATTAGAATGGCATTTTGGAATACAGTTTATATCAACAGATTCTTTATAAGAAGCATGAACGCAGCCTAAAGCTGCGTTCATACCGTGCGACGTCGTCGTCAACGTCGACGTAACCGACGTTTTCGACGACTAGTTCGCGAAGATTATATACGTATCGATCCGACGTAACGGACGAAACCGACGTAACCGACGACTACTTCACGAAGATTAGATACCTATCGATCCGACGAAAGCTGCGTAACCGAGGAAAGTTGCGTAAGCAACGTCAGTCGATACGAATCTAATCTTCTGTCGTCGGTTACGTCGATTACGTCGATCATATCATTGGATCGATACGTATCTAGTCTTCAAAAACGTCGGTTATGTCGGATCCATCGTTGACGGTATGAACGCAGCCTAACGACTTTCGTATCAAGAGTCATTCAGGCTGCGTTCATACTTTGCGTCAGATCTACCCTGTCGAGCGTACGCCAGCGCCAGCGACTAGGACAGTGTAGTTGCAGTTGTACGGTGCGAATGCACATGCCGCAACTTCGCGACGCCTAATCCAGTTGTCTGCTACCCTCGTCTTTCCCCATACTCCCCATTCTTGGAGGCTTCTGTATACTGGCAAACGCAGGTGGACGGTGGTGGAGCTCGCTTACTCAAGTGCTTTCATGAAGGGAGCCTTACTGCCCCGTCCTTATCTTTAAGAAGCACTGTTACTTTTGAGGTGTGCACAATTATTTTCAGGTACTGCAATCGAGAGTTCGATGACGAAAAGGTCTTGATACAACATCAGAAGGCGAAGCATTTCAAGTGTCATATCTGCCACAAAAAGTTGTTCAGTGGTCCCGGTCTTGCTATCCATTGTATGCAGGTAATCTCTATAAGATTTGCTTCTTATACTTTACGTTTTCGTTTTAATTTCGCACGAAAATGGTCATAATGGTAAGCGTTCTCTATGAGGAGAAGAGTAATATTCTCCTGCTAGACTGCACATGTTATGACCTCGTAAATCAAAGAAACCAGTAAGTTCTATTGATTTCTAGTCTGAATGCTAAACATAGGTGCACAAAGAAACGATCGACAAGATCCCGGGTGCTGTCCCCGGGAGGGACTCATCACAAATGGAGATTTATGGTATGCAGGGTATACCACCCGGAACTACTAGAGGAGGTTTGTCTTTATTACCTTTTGTTTTTCCTTAATTTTTTTCACTTCACGGATCAACTCCCACCCCTTCGTCTGTCATGGATTGTAATACCGGTGAGAAAATTCGGGCGTGGCGCTGTCGATTTTTTCGATTCAGCAAAACGTTTCTTTTGTCACGGGTATGATGCGGCCCTGGATAGCACAACGTTATTATTTTCATTGAGCTATCTAGGGAGCACTACCTAGTGTTCCGCCTCGTAAGGGGCTAGTTCTGTTGCACTGAGTTATGGTTTCCCAAAGAACTCTTCTGATTTTATACTCCGTTTCGGTAGTAGAATAAGGGATTACCTGAAAGTTTTGGGTTAGGAAGTGAGGTGGTTTTCATTCAAAGCAGGCTTTGAAAGCATGAGGCACGATAATTCGACACACAGTCTAAGATGGTAGCAAAGTGCTATAAAGTGGGAAAATGGCGAAAAAGTGAAAGTGATGTGGTCAAGAGCCTGCGAAAAAAGCTTTTGTTCTACATCGTTCAGCACTTTCGGACGAGTTTCCCGTGGACATCGTGCCAAGTAACCGCTACGGTAGATACGGCTGCATGTATGTACTCATATATCCATGCAGCACCGCAGCCGCTTCATATCAATCCCTTCGCTTCATATTGTACTTCGCAAATGAAGCGATACGAGCATCAGCATCAGTCGGACATTTGTGGGCGGGCGGGCGCGATGGTATGTCCGGTCGGTAGTGTTACAGCTTGATAGCGCGGCTATAAGGGTATATTCATGAAAAAGCGCCACGTCAGATGCGCGATGCTCATGGGGTCCGAAATCTGTTTTGCTAGCGTATTTTCCTTACACATCTTGGGCTTCTCTTGCCCGCTTGCCTTCCAATGATGCCACCAGATTTTCATAGTCCACTGAGCAGCGCAGACCGATGAAGAAGTTATAGTGTCGTCTGACGCATGTGTTGTCTCGGGAGGTTGGAGAGCAAACAGCATCATTGTGGGCTCAATCCTTTTTCGTGGTATCTCGTAATATAATCGGCATTCTAGATGAGGAACCTGATGCGAAAAGGGATAGAAAAGATGACTTCCCTCCGATGCCCCCTGGACCGATGCCAGGAATGCCACCAATGATGGGAGGAATGCCGCCATTTCCACCATTTCCAATGATGCATGGAATGCCGCCGATGGTCCCTCCTGGTTAGTTTATTTAAATTGATTCAAGTGACATAATAAATGTGAATAGGAGTGCGTTCACAATTTGCGGCAGCGTTTTGAGCGGTTGCCAACGTTTCCAGTGACAATCGATACCTAAACTTTCTTAGTTACTCAAAACGCTGGCGGACGCTCAAGACGCTCAAAACGCTAGATCGATACCTATGCTTTCCTTATCGCTTAAAAGGCTTGAAACGCTCGAAACTCTGTTGCAAAGTATGAACGCACTCTAACTCCAGCCATACGGCCCAGCTTAATAACGACGAAGTATCCTCACTAGAAAAGTGTCTGAATTGACAAATGTCCATGTTTTCAGGTATGCCACCCTTCATGCCTCCACCGCCCGGCATGGGCATGCCTCCAATGCCTCCTTTCGGAATGCCTGCACCACCGCCGCCAATATCAGCTCCTTCGTCAGCACCATTGGGACCACCTATGCCTCCAACAAAGATAGGGTATGCAGTAATATTATTAGCTGACAGTACTGATATTGACTGCTCCATTTTCAGCCCTATACATCCAGAGCCTGCGCGGGAAGAACCTAAAACTGAAGCCGATACAGATTACCGAATTCCACCTGATTATAATAGAGGACAGCGGGATCAAGGCGGATATGATTACGATGTGACTTTTTGTTTTTTTTACCCACGTGAATTCTTCTGAGTTGTTTTTAAATATTTCCAATGTTCAGGGAGGAGATAGTTATGGCTCTGACGACTACAGAAGAGGTGGTCCGGTAAAGGATGATTACGGAAGTCCAAGAGAGGACTACAGCAGAGGTGTTCCTCCAAACATTAGAGGGGATGACTACTCAGGTCGTCCTGGACCACCCTCTGAAGATTATTCAAGGGATAGCTATGATCAAGGCGATAGTTATGGTCGTGGTCCTCCTGGCAGGCCAGACTATGGCCGCGGTTTTCCACCACCAAATGACTCGCACATGAATCGTGACTATCCGCCACGGGGAATGCCACCACAGAACGACGATTACTCGAGGGGTTGGTTTGTATTTTTGTATGTAACCCAAAATTTCTTCACGAAAGATCTTATTGCTATGGTATTGCCAATCATGGAACTGGAGTAGCTACGGAATATGCAGTTGAAAACTTGTTTTTTTTTCTCTAACGATTGTTCATATTGAAGGATCCCGTTTCGATCGTCCACCTGATGACCGGTCTGGAGACAGAGATATGTATGGTGGTTCGATGTATAATGGAAATGGAGTTGTAAGTTTTCTGGAGAATTAAGTTTTTAGTTTGCAGTTAATGTAGCACTCAAAACTTGGACAGGATTCATGCATACGTTGCGACAGTAGTCGTAGAGGAAGGAGTGTTTGTAGGGTTCAATAGGCGATTGTGGAGTGGTTAGTTCATCTGCATTTACCACTGCTGGCACTCGCGATAGCATGCGCAGTTGACACATACTGAGAGGATGATTAATAACAAAAAAAGTGCTAAATTTAACCCTACAGCCCCCACTAGTGAGAGCAATCGTGACGCGGATACTAAGAACGATAGTTTCGTATTTGCGTCTTGATTGATGACGACCATCGTTTGTTTCGTATCGCACTGATTAGTCCATGATTGTGCCCTTTTTACGGTCTTATTCCTATGCTAAGGTAAGGATGTTCGTTCTTACAGGGTTCGCATTCGTCCGTTCTCAATTCCTCTGCTGCAGCCGTGGCTAATAAGCTTGGAGCCAAAACGCGTATAATCCATCCTGATGATCATCAGACCACGTCATTGGTACGCTTTTGTATATTAATTTGTTAATTTCGTAATATGAGGACCGAGGTGGTGTGGTGACAAGTGACAGTGACGTGCGGTCCTGGGGTCTAATACCAGGTCGGCTCCCTCCCATGCCAGCCAAGCCGTCTACCCACCACAGACGGTTACTTCGTGCAAGGTGCTGCGAGGATAAGAACATTGACTGGCCGTTCTATGGGTCACATTGCATTCAGTAAGCCATCACGTTTCTGAGTGGAAGTGCAGTGTGTCGCTTCCCACAATGGGTTTGATTAACGGCGAAGACTACCCCTTTGTCCATTTATTCATGCGAGCTACTCGGCACTTTGTCTGGACATGTCCACAATCTCTGTACCGCCTGAAGATCCGCTTATTGCACAGAAAGGGTCATAGAAAATAGCGGTTACGAATTTTATAGGTTCTTGCAGAAAAATTGCGAAACATTTTTCATTTGTGCGAGTAGAGAGGTATTTCAAGGGTTCAGAAGAGGAAGTCTTGACTATTGTGAGATTCGAGGGCATTTCGGCTCCAGAAGTATGCCCTTATTGCCAAACTCATGTCAAGCTTGTGTTCTAGGGGCTTGGCCTCGGTGGTGAAGTGGATGTCGCACTCGCCCAGTTAGTGGGATATGCGGGCTCTAGTTCCGTCCGACTTTCCCCATAACTCAGCATTCTTGATAACTTACCAACGTGTTGAAGCTTCCGGAAACATTTTACTCTTCGTTTTTCAGGAAGAACGACGTGCGATGATGATGATGTCCACAAGGGGTCAATATCGTTAATCTCACTGCACATTTTATGATTTCTGAGCAGTCAATGAGTAACTTCTTTATGATTGTAACCGCTCTTCACTGCACTATGTTGAATTTGTTAAAATGTCGTTTCCGTATTTTGTTCAACTCTTATGTCCCAATAAATGTTAAACTATTTTGAATATTCGACAAACAAGATTGTGCTCATCCATAAAGAAAATAATCATACTCCTCTCACCAATAGCGTGCTTTTCGTGAGGAATTTCGAAAGGACTGGATGCCTGCTCTGTTATTCTGTCGCTTTTTTTCCTACACAGACAATGTTTTGGTTATATGAGGAGCATGCGAGAT